ATATTGATTTCATTCATTATGTAGCAACAATTATAACGGAAATAATAACGGTAAATATTAGTATACAGTCTAGACCCGATGCTGTGGGAACTGGGGGGGGGGGGGGATTCTCCTACAAAAAGGGGGTATCAAACGTAATAATCTTGGTAGAATTTGCGTAAGATTGGGTATGCACTGGGTGGTCTGTTCAACATGAAAACAAAACAATAAAAACAAACAAAAATTAATGTCTCAGCATCATCCTCAATAAACAGGCACTTCTGTACGATACACTTTAATTACATGTATATGTATTCATTGAGAATACATATTTTCCATATATATAATCCTACTTCTCAATAACCATTTATAGCCATGCATGTACAGTACATATTTGTATGTAGGCCTGAAATATCTTAGGTCAATGCGTGTTATACAAGCGCAAAAGTACAGCGTAAGTCGATTCTATTCTCCTCTTTCTATTGCCACGTAGTGGTTACGTAATTCACTGTTTGCTGACTACAAAACCAAGAGGATGTCCGAGGAAACCAACAAAAGCTGCAATTAGGTTCGTACAGCTATCTGTTCTGCTCTGTTCACCATTGGTATGCAGCACTATGGACTTGATACGATTTGTTTCATCCAATGCTTTTATCACGAGAACACTTTCTCAACGAGATTCTTATACTTTATTTAGCTTTTTCATAGTTCGAGGTGAATGATAATAAAATTGGAAGATTCTACGACAAAATATTGTAGGTGTTATATCAATGTGATTGGTAGATCGCTAACGTATAGATAGTTGGTATCATGGACCTACAGATGTACTGGTAGATAGCTAAAGTACAAGTATTACTTCTACTTCTACGACGAAACTCCATAAGTCAGGATGTAGTGCTGAGGAATAAACTATCTAAAAAAAATATATATATATATATTAAAAACATAACCTATATTTGTCTTAGAAACAGTATGATAGAAACGGTCTATAGTTAAATCCTAAATTTATGAATTTCTTAACATGCAGAATATTGGTATTTATGTAGCGTGGAATATGGGACTACACAAAGATAATTAATATGGGACTATAATCAACCCAATTTGCGCAACTTTCTTGGCTTCCGTGTTCTTTATACTTCGAATTCGTTTGGCAACTACAATTACCGTAGGATTTTGCAAGAAATGTAATTGCCATGATATCAGAAGCTCAGTGTATAGCTTTAAATGAGGACTTCATTTAAAGGTATAGACCAGTTATTGTCATGCGATTGCATTGTAAAAGGAAAGTGGAATCAATCAGAAAAGGTTGATCATCTAGCATATGAGTATTGGTGTACTGCAAGGTTCTGTTATCATCAAAATGATAAGAAATTTGGCCCAGTCTTGGTAAAGTTACAAGCACTATACACAGAAAGATGTATATGGGATTACACGGTATCTATCCAGGTCAGATAGATATGATATTTACCAAATTATATAAATTAGTAGGAGGTTTCCCGGCAAAATTTGTATTATCACGTATTAGTCAAAACATATATTTTTTCACATGATTGGTAATAAGAGCTTCCATTTCATTTTTTTGAGAGGGGGGGGGGGCGTTTCCAAAACTAGTCTATACCTTTAATATAACCCGAATAACATGACTGAGCCAGAGATAAGTTAAAGTTCCCAGACAGCTCTCTGGTTGAACCCACATTTTTGTAGGTGAACTTATGTTATGCCCTTTGGGAGAGACTGACAGGATCTTGACTCATTCATAAAAAAAGCTCCTCATCTGAACTCAAGATCTGAAACCTAGCCAACTCTGTATACAACAGGATTGCCTAATCTCTAGATAATACATTATGCATCACGTGATGCTGTCATTTCATCTGAGGTATTTGCTTCTTTAGGAGCTTGGAGGGGGTATTGGAAGGGAGGGGTAGTTGAAGGAAGGGGCAAGGGAAAGAACGGGGCAAGGGAAAGAACGGGGCAAGGGAGGGGGCAATGGAAGGGAGGGGGCAATGGAGGGGAGGGGGCAAGAGAGGTGAGGAGAGGGGGCAAGGGAGGTGAGGATGGGTGGCGAGGATGGGGGGCAAGGGAGGGGAGGGGGAGGGGAGGGGGCAAGGGAGGGGAGGAGGCAAGGGAGTGGAGGGGAAGGGAGGGGAGGAGAGGGGGCAAGGGAGGCGAGGATGGGGGGCAAATGAGGGGAGAGGGCAAGGGAGGGGAGGGGGCAAGGGAGGGGAGGGGCAAGGGAGGGGAGGGGGCAAGGGAGGGGAGGGGGCAAGGGAGGGGAAGGGCAAGGGAGGGGAGGGGGCAAGGGAGGGGAGGGGCAAGGGAGTGCAGGGGAAGGTAGGAGAGGGGAAGGGCTGGGCTGGGCTTGGCAGGGCATACTGCAGGGGGACGGAAAGGGGGTTGCAAGGAAGGGGCAGGGAAGGGGCAGGGAAGGGGGCGGGGCAATCACGTAGGTTTCATGAGTTGGTTAGGCATATCTCCACACTCAACTCTCCTGCAGAGGGGTGAAAATCCACTCTACAAAAGGAGTCATATTATTAGCGAGCGCTTTATTTTAGAGTTGAATCCACTCCTAACGATACTGGAACCCATTCCCAAGTAATATGTTTCAATTACTTTCACTCTTTAGCGACTTGATTTCAGTATAGTGATTTAGTGAGTGTATATATATTTCCAACTTTAAAACGGAACGAAGAGATCCTTGAAATGTCTCCTGAAAGAGTGGATTTCCACTCCTGTACATTTTGGAGAGTATGACAGAAGATCATCAAAACCAGGTACAACGGGTCGAATCGAGAGCGCCTGAACAACAATTTTCGACATCGGACATGTTTGCCAGACAATTATCAAGAACTAACATCAAAAATAGATTAAATTTTTTTTCAATAGTAATTCAATTAAGACAAATACTTTATAGGAAATAGATGGCTGGCGTGATAATTTTTCCCGCTGTCATGTAATTGATGTCGAAACCAATTTGTAATTATTGTGAGTTATACACGTGTACATTGTGAGTTGCATGATCATGATGTAGAAATGAGTATACTTGAAGAGTTAAAGTAAAAAATGAATAAATTTATCGCTTGATAGATCACATTTGGACAACTTGTGTTGCTAAATGTGGAACAAGTGTACATTTCACTTCTGACGATATTCTCTAGGCCTGCTAAATCAAATCAAATACCGCTGAACAACGTTGTCAACTATTTGCTTATATGACTGAACTGTGTTTGCATAGGGGAGGTGGCAGCGTAGATCAAACTACTTCTTCCTATTATTTGGGATAAGAAAAACGCCAGTTGAATTTAGAAAGCATCGATGGTCGCAATATCAGAAGCGCAAGCACATTTAGAAACAAGCATGTGGGTGGAATTGTATTTGATAAAATCAAACTTTGTAGAAAAGACAGTTCTTATTGGGAACGTGTGTTTTCAGGCACGTCTATCAAGCCTGTATCACATATCGATTTACGATAGATTTTCGTTTCGCGTTCACTAACAAATATTGTGATCACACACCACCAAAATCATAGCCCGAATCTACATTTTAATTTTAAAAAGCAATATATATTAATCATTCCCTTTCATTTATTCACAATATCCACTAGAGACCCATAAGTTGAAGTATCCCGGGATTTGGTAATCCGTTAATCCTGTACATTCTGGAGTTATATACAGAAGAGGAAATCAATGGCAACGGCTCTGCACGCTGTTATTTAATCCAGGGTCCATTCGTTCAGCGTCGCGTGGTCACTGACCAGCAATGCCCATGGAACTGGCAGCTTTCCAACACTTGTCCCATTGTCCAGGTGTTTTATTCGAAACTTTCTTTTATCTACGAATCCAGATGACACACAACTAGTCTTTGTCCGAGAGGTGCGGACATTTGAGTTCCTTTGGATTTCAAGATGTGGCTTTCTCTCCCATGCATTGCTCTTGGCAAGGAAATTAATACAAAATCAAGGATGTACATGTATCTGCACTTGCGGGTACTATTATCACTACTTTTATGTTTGCCGTTTCCGTTAGCCTAGTTTTAACCACAACACAAACATGGTTGAGTAATTTTGAATGGTGCATCTGGGGTCGCACCGTTTCCCCGGGTGTTACGTGCTAATTCTTTGTGAATCATAAATATTGACATAGACTATAAGTATCATAACCAAAATATGACTTATTTTATTCATCGCCCCCAGACAAAAAGAATGTTTAAGCACAAAATGTAAGCATAAAGTTAACATAACCAAATAATCTCGCATCTACCCCCTATTATTCAATTAAAATGAGCCGTCTGTTTCTGCCGTCATGTTAAATGGCATAACAATTTTTTTTTCAAATAATATTTCTCAGACTCAGACTTCTAGATTTACTCAAAAATTGACGCACGAACTCTCTCGCATTTGTCAAAAATATGCAAGAGCTATTTTATCAAATTGAAATTGGATGATCTGTAAACAAAGCTCTTTAATAATTAATCGTAGATATTATTATATAAGCAAAAACCGGTTCACAAACATATTCAAATTCTATGCATACTCTTTGAAAAGGTTGTTCTTGACCTTCTGAAAGCTTGCCCAACATTGCAACAAGTAATGTATGCAGACTCAGAATGAATTACCAGTTATATTTATAGTTCATAAAACATGTTAATGGAATAACTCGTCAGTAGACTAGTCACCGACACTAGTGACTAGGTCGCCAGGCAAAAAACATCCATACACTTGAATATGTTAGTAAGCCAGTCTATTGTCTTTGAGATGGAACCTCGGACCATTATAAACTGGTTTATTCATCTGAATGTTTTGACAAAATATAGTTAGAAATTATGCATCATTGTCATCAATTAATATTAATAAAGTTAAGCTTTTGGCTTTGCCTTTACAGCTTTAGCTTTAGATTCTGTTTACATTTTTTGTAACGGTGATAAGACATGGTTTAAAGTAGTGAGTTCGTCAGTGCAAATAAAAACCGATCTATCCTTATCGAGCATTAGCTAGATAAAGAAGAAAAAGATAAACAACGACTCACCAACGAGGGACCGGTTAGAACGCCAATGCCGTATCCATACTGGGCTGAGCTCCCGAAGGTTACCGCTATCACAGAAATCACCAGCCATAGAGTCGGCCTTCCCTGCGAAGGAAAAGTATAACCACCGCTAGGCATTTTGTTTGATAGTTCAAGTACTTCTTAAGTTAAGATTGAATATGAGGTTATGGAGAAATCCCAAAAGCAGTCAGCTAGTGATGAAGTCGAGAGTCAGATATAAGTTTGTAGCTGTCGTTTCGTTCGGATTCAGACGGCTGCTGAAGTATGAAATCACACCATACAGTCGCTCCGGAAGAATTGTGCCAATAACATGTGCGCGTGCTCTCACACACGGGTACAGCCAAATATCAACACACGATGTGGTGTACGAGGAACGCCTTCTTGTTTTATCTTCAGTTGGATAAAGTCAACAGCAGCAGTTATCTTAGAGCAAGGACCGCGTTAGTTAAATAATATATTATTCGATGAAATAATTTAGGTGCTGTTCTCTGCTGAGGATTCGCAAAGATACGGTATTTTGTCCTGATTTTTGGTAAAATTGCAGGTCTTGGTACGATACGAGCGTGGTATACGTGCGAGCGGGATTGCGCGCGCGCGGCGTAGGTACGTAAAGGTCAATTGAAGTTCGTTCATAGTAAAATGTCCAGTGATCAGACATAAACATTAAAAAGGTTAAGGAAGAACACGATTATAGTCTTTACATCCAGATAGTTCATTTGAAAATATTCACAAATTTTAAAAACTTGTTTCACTCTTTTAAACGACAGGAAACAAAATATTCAATCTACTCTCCATATTTTAATGTTATTTAGCTCGAGTCATACAGAGGCTTGTTTCGGCAGACTAGCCCAGTGAGCATCATGAATGGAGGTTCTTTGGGTTCTTTTTTGATAGTTTCTTCATATAAACCCTTTCCAAAAGAAACACAATGCAAGACTGCAAATAGGTATAAAATTGCAATTAAACATTAACAAAGCCATAAAAATATCTCAAAATAGAAATTAAACCTGCTCTACATATTTTGTAGAGGTGCTGACTTTCTTTCTGCATTGTAAAATAGCGAAATCACATATAAATGAGTCTGCGTTTACAGACTTCGGTTCGCGCGTTCAGCCGTAATGTCATTTGTACAGTTAGTGAAAGTGTCCCGCAAGTTCCGTTTGCGCATGCGCTCTTCGTCGTCGGCCCTTCCCTTGGCACACCTCTCACACGCCCACATTCTTTGTTTTCGTGTTATGTTTACATTGTTTGAAAGTTGTACGCTTCTGCTTACGAATTAATCACTTTCAGTTCAGTATCATTTATTTCCATCAAAATCAAATTACAAGTAAAACATTTTTTTTCTTCGTACAAATGAGATTTGTTTTCAGCACAGTATAGGCCTTCAGTATAAGAGATAACACTAATATTGAAACAACATGCTTTGTAGAATTAATGACAAGAAACGTAATGTTAAGCGTATAAAGGAAAAGAGTGATCCACGAAAACGCAAAGCTTAATGTAAAACGTTAACCACTCGATGAAACTTTCTCACGTCTATGCATAAAATGTCCGTACGTAAAAACAAAATTCCAAAAATCTAAACAAAGTCCTAAATAGGCTATGCGGCTTCCCTAAATTCAAGTTGCAATTGAATTACGGAGTTGAGTTCAGCAGGCAAGGTTCTAGGAGAATGGAATAATTGGAGGAGGGGCCTTGGAGGGCTTTTGGGGCGGCTTGTGAGTTCTTGCATTCACTTTCTAGTTTCTACATGCGCTTCCCTTTCAGGCACGTAGCAAGAGTTTGATGTTGGGGGGGGGCACATACATTTAATCGATCGACGTCCTTGGGAGGGGTCTAAAAAGTTCAACCGATCTTGGAAATTGGGGGGGGGCACGTGCCCCCCCCCCCCCCCCGTGGCTACGTGCCTGTTCCCTTTATCTCATATTCATGATTGAGAAAAGGGGGGCTTAAAAAATGGGGAGGGGGCCTGAGTTCCCAAGCCCCCAATTAGAACCGTTTCAGAATCAAGTGAATCTGGAGGTACATTCCCTTTGTCTTCTTTTCTTTATATTTCCCTTTTCCTTTCATTCTTCCTGTCATTCTTTCTGTTCTCTTTTTTTGGGGGGGGGGAGGGGGTAGCGCCTATTTCTCTCATAATTTGACAAATTAGATTACACTTCCAAGCTTCAAAACATTTGCCGTACTTCCTCAACTCAGATGGATTTCACTCGATTACTACTTTTATCAGAAATTTATTACCACCATTTCAGGAGTGAACAAAAAAAATTGTTTTTCCTTTTTTTTTTAAATCGTTGCCAGTAGGCGTATTGGGAACGGTAGAGTGATGTCACTTAACTTGCTTCATAAATTGAATTTACCGCTCAACATGATTGTTTTCTTTACATTTTTTGACATTGAATATCATGTCAATTTTCCATCATGATCAAAGAAAATAAACAGAGATTAAGACACATATTTGCTAAATTACCGCAAATTGCCATGGTCCCATCACGATGATTTTCACAGTATGAAAATATTTGTTGAAAATTCCAATTATTATCAATAGATAACTTTAACAACATGACCGAACATCTGCTCAAGAAGCGGTGTTTCCGGCATGGGCACATTGCCAACTGATTGCCTTTCTCAAAATTTGAGAGATGGGTTAGCCTATATATGATATTGGGGTTCATTGTTCAAGGCTCATCAGTACTTTCATAATATGGCCCAGGCTTTTCTACACCGAATAACATTTTAGTTGCCATGGGAACATCATAATCAAAATCATGTTGCATTAACCTAATAAGGGTATTCCTCTGCATTTCTTTAGCTTTATCCCTGATTTGCTGTTTATTTAAAACAAATCTAATTTCATGCATTGAAACATAATTATTCTGAAAAGAGATATATGTAGTGCGCCATCTACTGATTTTGGAGTTATATCCTTGTCTTTTATTTCAGCATCATATGAAACAAGTATATAGATGCTATTAACCCATCAACCACGCGATTATCTGGATACATATAACCAGAGGCGGCGCTCGTGGGGGGGGGGGGGGGCAGAGGGGCACATTGCTCCCATTTTTTCAAGTACCCTAAAAGTGCAAATTTCATTAAACGGAAAAATGTCCCCTTTTACTTAAACAAGTGTCCTTTCTCGTTTTTATAAGTACCTCTTTTATTTTGACAGGTGCCCCTTTCCATTGTGATAAGTGCCCCTCATTTTCTTTAATAAGAGCCCTTTTATCTTCTCATAAATGCCCCTTTTAATTTTTGATAATTTCCCTATTTAAATCTGATAGGTGCTCCTTTGCAACAAGTGCCCCTTTTTCCATTCTCATAAATGCCCTTTTTCATTTCTGATAAATGTCCCTTTTCAGGTACAAGAAATGCAATGTTTACCTTTGACAAGTGCCCCCTTCACCTCTGATAATTGCCTCTTTTCAAATCAGAGAAATGCCCGTATTACTTTGACAAGTGCCCAATTTCCTTTGTAATAATTGACCCTTCCACTTTTGGTATTTGTCTCTTCCCCTTTTCATAAAAGCCCTTTTCACTTTTGATAAATGTCCCTTTTTAAATCTGAAAGGTATTCATTTTCCTTCAAAAAAATTCCCCTTTTCCATTCTCATAAGTGCCTTTTTTCCATCTCTGATAATTGCCCTTTTGCTTTGACAGGTGCTCCTTTTCTTTTCTAATAAGTGTCCATTCCCATTTTAACAAGTGCCCTCTTTCCCATCTTCATTACATGTGCCCCTAATTTGAAGCGACTTAGTGCAACCTTTTCTTTAATTTCCCCCAAAGCACACTCGCTACGCTCGCTCGCATTCATAGTTGATAACATTATGTTAGTTATTATAGGCCGTTCAGGCGCGTACGCAGGATTTTTTCAAGGGGGGGGGGGGTTGACATTTATAAATCGGGCCGAAAATTTCGCAACGACACAGCCAGCCGCTGAATAAGCGGGGGGGGGGGGGGGGGGTAAGAGGACACTCTTTTTTTTTTTTTGGTCCCAAAAAAATCGCAACGACTCAGCCGACCGCTGAATAAACGGGGGAAGGGGGGGGGGGGGAGGGGTAAGAGGACATTGTTTTTTTTTTGGTCTCGAAATTTGAAAAATTTGACATTTTGCTCCGTTGGGGGGGGGGGGGGGGTTAGGTCATCTTTTTAGGTCAGCTATGGGAATATTTTTTTATTTTTTTTATTTTAATAATTAAAAAAAAAAATCCAAAGGGGGGGTTAAGGGGAGTGATGGGGGGGGGGGTTACACACATAAAAATACCAAATACCAATACCCCCCCCCCCCTTTGGAAGACGCTCCGCCGCCTCTGGATGTTACTTCCCCTTAGACATTTAAACCCTGGCAAATGGGCAACTACCCCGAGTTAACCGGACACCTACCCCTAAAATAACTATATACCAATTTGAGTAATACCACATGATAAATACTTTTAAGAATAACTATTAAATAGTTTTTCCCCTACGAACAATAATTACTTCTCTCAAATGGTGTCGAATAGTGATGTGGCATTGGTTTTCCTGTCTATTTCCTTTGTTCCTTTATATTTTTTTTAAATTGGTTTAAATTTATTTTTTTTACAAATTTTTGCATTTTCTTTCTCCACTTCGTTTATTTCTTATTTTGCCAAACTTGTTTAATTCATGAATTTTGGTATATGATTTTAATTCTTCTTCTCTATTTTTTTGTATCGATTCCACGGCTAATCTTAATGGTGACTTCACACTTTAGTTTTAGACTGAGGAGGGGAACTTTGTCAAAATTTTAAATAAACTTTTATTTCAGATTGCCATCCTGTGCAAGATATTATCCCACAATAATTCATTCCTGTATTGTACAACAGCAATGTTTTTTTTCTTCTTTCTCTCACTCTGTCTATCGTTTGAACGCATTGCGTTTTAAACTAAACGTCTTTAGAAACCGTGATTCTAGGGTGAAAAAGTGTCGATTAAACGCACCCTAAATCGAATGACAGTGAAAAAGTGAATATCAGGCTTCATAAAAGGAGTCAACCGTAAATAAATTAATCGTGTCAGGAGTATAATGCAGCAACTTTAACTAATTTGTAGTATTTATCAGCCCCTCCCCCCCCCCTAAATTGCAAATACAAGTGTGTGCTTATAACAATACTTTAAAGGTGTCAATGTGAAGGCCTCCTCGAAGACATAATTTTGACAGGAATATTGCACTGCACATGTATGACACCAATTACGTTTTATGCCGTGACCACCCCCCCCCCCCCCTATGCCAGGGTGATAAGGGGTCGCATACTTTTCACGAACGTATCAACATACCAAGGATATGGCTTGTGTGTGTCTGTTTTTCCACTGAATTGAGAACCTAATCGGCGCGATATATGATCTTTAAAAATGTGACAGACGATGTTTTTAAAAAAGGATTCGGCCCGCGACCAGAGTGCACTCTGTAGCATTTTTGTTGTGTGTGTGACTAGAAGAAATGCTACATTTCACGATTTGCTCCTATATTGCTATTTACATTATGAGCACGACTATTGCGTTTTCTTCAGACCCCCTTAAAAACGTCATCATGATTTGATTTGAACTTGCCTTGAATACTTGGACATTATAAAACACGTCTCGAGAAAACAAACGAACAAAACAATGGTTGATCAAAGACATAATTATGTGTCTGTTTTAAAGATATGAAAAGCATTATCAAAAAGTGTAGCATTTTGTCTCCTAAATATTAAGTGCTTTTTCAATTCATATTACTAATAGTTTTACAAATTGCAGAAGCTTCCATTTAATTTTATTTGAGACAAAATTATTTAGACAATATGAATATCCTGGGGGTAACGCAATTCAAAATATTGAAAAGAAACGAAAAAAATAACAATTATTTGTTAATACCGATATTCAATCAAATTAGAAGTTTTGTTTTACTATTTCGAACGCTATACTCCTCGTACTTGTATTATCATGAATAAATCGCACCTAATAATGAGCGAGTGTACCAGCCGAGATCTTTAGCTTACTGTTGCTCAAAATCTCCACCGCTACAACATAGTAATTTCGGTCGCTACGCTCGCTCGTACCTTCACCAAATCATGAGGTAACCCTTCGAAGTGCGCACCAATATTGTCAACTGCAAATAATCATTTTCGATATCACAACTAATAATACTAATAAATTGTAAAATCTTAAACTTTTAGCCGGCCTATAAAATAATTATCGACTTTATTGATGCACAAGTTTACTTATCGTTTAATATCTTTGTTTAATTAATTTTTTCGACACGACAAGATCAATGCGATCCTTTCAATCCGTAAAAACGAATTCAATGATAAATAGGTCTAATTAACAATCTAACAAAGTGATCAGCAGTTATATGGATACAACTGGAATATACAACAAACGAACTTGACGTTTTACTGTATACAAATTAAAACAAAACAAATACCATTTAATTCATTCCAATTCAATTCAAAATGGACTATGTCATGAGCTAGAAAACCGCTTCCGACGAGCTCCGAGACAAAATGCCGGCTTACAAAATCAAGGGTGTCTAGTCCATCAATCTAGACAAACGTTTATGGCTCATATACATTACGTGCAGTCGAGAACATGTCTGTTTCCAAAAGAGCAATTCATGAATCTGAATCGGAAGAGGATTTCTTTAGGAATTAGATACTTTGAAACTCTTAATTTATGAAATAAAGATTACGTAAACTTTTATACTTACTAGGACAAACTTCGGTTCTTTATTGGTGAGTTGTTCTTGTGAAATTGTCCTGCTGTAATCCTCCTTCCCGATTTCTTCGTGCTTGCCGTTCGATGCGTCTTCCATCTTCCAAAGATTACTGTGGGCCTCGCTCTTGGTTGACGTCTGAACTCGACTCTCTTGAACTCCGTGGTCGTAAAATCAACCCGATCTTGACGTATCCCCTTGTGATTTATGCTCTGAACTTGGTTCAAGCCCTACCGAAAATCCCGTCTTCGAGAATCGTTTGTTTCAAAGAGGACGAAAAAGAAGGCGATAGAGAGAGAGAGCAATGGAAAGAGAGAAATATTATCATGACCCCCTTCTGAGCGAATAAGGTCACAACTCGTTATGTCAGGAAGAAAAAACAAAACAAGGAAAAGAAAATTTTCTATCAATCCCGGGTTTGTTGGCACGCGGCAGGGAACATTACGTACACAGCTTGAAAATAAATAGTACATCGACTGCCAAAGTTTTAGATAATTACATTATTTGGGAACGACAAATGCGATAACTTATTATTGTATCAGCATTATTTGGCAACGTATTGGTTTTGGTTGTATAACGGTTTTTATCTTTTTAATCCGTTTAAACTTTAACTAGAATGAGAAGCATTAACTGACTGAAGAAGGACATCGGTTCATGGGTCAGCATTCTATCTCGTAAAACTAGAGCAAAAATTGGTATCTGATTATTGAAACAGGTCATTACGCAGTCTGAAATGGGGATATTGATAATGATGATGGTGATGATGATGATGATGATGATGATGATGATGATGATGATGATGTTGATGATGGTGATTGTGGTGGTGGTGGTGATGATGGTGATTATATTGATGATGGTGATGGTGATTGTGGTGGTGGTGGTGATGATGGTGATTATATTGATGGTGATGGTGATTGTGGTGGTGGAGGTGATAATGGGGGTGATGATGATGATAATACTAAATTTCATATCAACGATAACTATGATAATGTTAATGATGACGATGGTGCTAATGATGACAATGACAGGTCATGATAACGATGATGATAGTGACGACGAGGATGAAATGATGATGATGTGATGATAATGGTGGTGATGATGATGATACTAATAGATAATGATAATGATGATGTGATAATAATGGTGATGATGATGATGATGACGATAATGATGATGATAATGAGATGATGTGATAATAATGGTGATGATGATGATGATAATGATGATGATGATGATGATAATGAGATGACGATGATCATTTTTATAATTACGGTGAAAGCAATTTATTAACATCGCAAGCATAAATACTCCCGGTCATCCGTTGGTTGCAATAAGGCGAAGTTTATTCTCTTGGATCGCTGCATTGAGTGCTGCATCAAAATCTTGAATAGCTTGTCCCAAATGCTGAATATGCCACCATAAAATATTTTATTATATATTTAATATTAATATATTATGTCTTGTTCACTCAGTGTAGCCTCACCAGTATTATTACTGTTCTCCCTGAGGGCCCTGCAATCTTATCAATAGGCTGATAATGTTAATGTGGTAATTGTAAAATAAACTAATTTGCCACAAGCCATCTTTAAGTCCAAGCAGACCTCTATTCTTGAAACTGAATATTCTTCTAATATCATTATTACATGATTTTCAACTCTGTGTTTTCATGTATTCATATTATCCTAACCTATTACCAGAAATTTGATGTAATATATTTCAGAGCAATAACGATATTCATAGATATAATACGAGGACTTCAGCAGACACTCGTGTAATATAATTCTTCATTTTCAAACAGTATCTTTTTATGCCAAGGACCCACTATTTGGAACAAACTACCCCCTAAACTTAAACAGTGGGCATCTTTAAACAATTTTAAGCATAATCTAAAATTTCACCTGATGCAGAAAATTTAAATTTGACAAACGCATTTTTTTAATGTGTGTAATTACCATCGTATTATTTTTTTTTCTTTTTCATTTTTTTTTCTTTCTTTGTGTGTACATTTTTAGGACCATTCACCTATAAGTTTTTGTAACTTTTTTGATGATCCAACCACTTCGTAATTTCCTTTAGTGTATTCTCCATTTTATTGGTTCATCTATGTTTGCAAGAAATTATTGTATTCTTTGCCTTTGTATGTTTTTATACAAGTGGTGAATAAATTCAATTCAATTCGATTCAATTCAACTACTTATATCGCTGCGGCTTTCTGATATTTCGTATGTTAACATGTTTTTAAAAATGATGAAATTCTCCCAGCATAGAAACTAGGATTCTCTTCAGGTGTTATGTTGATCTTGACCTTTCTTGACCTTCATGTTATATGTAATGACATTACAATTCTTTTCTTTGTTCTATTTTGCTGTCTAAAACATCAAAATATTATTTCTTTTCCATTCTTCGGAATGCGAACACACCCACAACTCCTCCCACGGTAGTCCTTCGAAAACCTGACACCGAACTGCAGGTATCCTGTGCAGCAGCGGTTTCAAATAATGGTACGAGGCATAGCATCCCCCGTCAAATTATGGCTGTACAATTCCACTTTCAATTTGTAGAGGTGTCGTGGTCGAGTGGATATGTTACCGGACTGTGGATCACAAGGTCCGCAGTTCAAATCCCGCCGCGCGGCACCAATGTCCTTCGGCAAGACATTGATCTACATTTGCCGCACTCAACCCAGGTAAGGTAAATTGGTAACCGGTACGATTATTCCTACTGTGCGCCGATATCGGTAGCCGGAGCTAAAGCTAGCTAGGGTAATATTTTCCGAAGCCTTTTGGAAGCTTATAGAGACTTATTATTATGCGCTATACAAGAATGGACTATTATTTATTATCATTAATATTAAAATATCCTACACTAACTACACTCCTTATTACAATCCTGGTCCGAACACTGCACCTACACCTAAAAGTTCGATAGTTTGATCTGCTGTTTCTTGACACTATATACCATGATAACGACATTTCAATACTATTTGGAAGCCCTGTCTAAAACCACAAAATATTTTCCTTTGCCATTCCTCAGAATGCGCAACACACCCCCAGTTCCGCCCATGCCGTGCCTTCGAGAACCTGAAACTGAAATTGGAATCCTGCAGTGTTCACCAACAGGACGCTCCAGGGGCAACATCCTGTCTCGTCATGCTCGTCCTTTCACGTACCCCCCCCCCACCCCCCCTCCCCCACAGTGAGCTCCAGTACAAATTTAAAGGACACAGCAAAATATAATTTGACAGCCTTCCACTGCAAGTTGAGAGTATTTGCAATGCAAGGGCCTTCTTAGAAGGGGCGGGGCGGTGCCGGGCGTACGCCGGTTTCAACAAGATGCTGGATACGCCCCTGATTATTACATTACACATCAAACAAAAATTTGTGTTGGACAATACGTCTGAGTTTATTTTGTCGGTTTCTTTTTTTAAAGTATGTAAACTGGTGAGCATTACGTTCATTTCACAAGGCCCGTGCCAAAATTGTACATCAACCTTCATAATAACATTTTGAAATACAGACTGAAATCAAATACAGACATCGAAAACCACAGTTGTGTTTTCAAACATTAAACATTCCCAAGGTAAAAACCTTGCTTGGATAAAGCAGTATTTACACTATAATCTATGGAATTGATAAACCGTGTTTTGTCAATGGATCTACACAGCCGCTTTGTGAAGCAGTTCATTGCCCATCAAAAAGAAACAACAAAAATTAAAAGAAACAATACCAACGGAGCTCAGACAACATTATAGATCAAAGAACTTTGACAACTTTTTAAAATTGTACGTTTAAAGGTATAGACAAGTTCTGGTAAAGCGAGTGTAATGTGAAAGAAACGTTGTGGAATCGGTAAGAAAAGATTGATCATCTGGCATATTTAGTATTGGTGGGTACTGCAAGAATCTGGAATCATTAAAATGATACGAAATTTGGCCCAGTTTTGGTAAAGTTGTACACAGAAAGATGTATATGGGACCACGCGATATCTAACCAGGCCGGATAGATATGATAATTACCAAATATATCAATAAGTAGGTGGTTTCCCGGCAAATGTTGTATCATCACGTACATATTTATTCACAAGATTAGTAATAAGAGCTTCCATTTCCTTTTTTGAGAGGGGGCGTTTCCAAAACTGGTCTACACCTTTAACCCAACTGTGTTTTTTTTTTTACTTACTTTTTTATAGAATCTAGCCATACTTATTATTATATTACCATTTTAGGGGCGAACATCCTTTCTTCAAGTAAATTACTAATGGTTATACTTTGACTTTGACAACTTTTTAAAATTGTACGTTTAAAGGTATAGACCAGTTCTGGTCAAGCGATTGTATTGTGAAAGAAACGTTGTGGAATCGGTAAGAAAAGATTGATCATCTGGCATATTTAGTATTGATGGGTACTGCAAGAATCTGGAATCATTAAAATGATACGAAATTTGGCCCAGTCTTGTAAAGTTATACACAGAAAGATGTATATGGGACCACGCGATATCTAACCAGGCCGGATAGATATGATAATTACCAAATATATCAATAAGTAGGTGGTTTCCCGGCAAATGTTGTATCATCACGTACATATTTTTTGTTCACAAGATTAGTAATAAGAGCTTCCATTTCCTTTTTTGAGAGGGGGCGTTTCCAAAACTGGTCTACACCTTTAAAGGGATAGTTGAGTTCTGTTGCAGAGGGCGCTACACAAAATAATTTTTTTGTGAGATAATGAAGAACTGAGTGTCAAATTTGAAAGAACATAATATTTAAATGACAAAATCATCTTTATTTGATCAAAATCGGTTGAGAGGCGGCTGAAATAGAACGATTTCTAATACTTGTGTACCACAACAAATATTAGATATTTTGAAAAATTTGGAAAAAAACTGTTGAAAAAAACGAAATAACGCCTTTTACGTCGTATTTCAGCCAATGCCGATGTTGGCTTTTTTGTTGGCATTTTGTGTGTTGCTTATATTTCCCACAACTAGCCGGCTCATGTATTGTTATTTTTAATTAAATAATTAATTAACGGTCTCCATGTTTTTTTGAAAGTGGAGCTGAATTGGTATCATCGTATTGGCTAAATTTCACACATTTTGGGGTCTAAAATTACCTTTATTGCAAATTTAGGTTCTAAAAGGGTACTATAAATATCATAGATAAGAATAAGAGCAATAACTATGCAATTTGCAAGAATCTGGAATCATTAAAATGATACGAAATTTGGCCCAGTCTTGTAAAGTTATACACAGAAAGATGTATATGGGACCACGCGATATCTAACCAGGCCGGATAGATATGATAATTACCAAATACATCAATAAGTAGGTGGTTTCCCGGCAAATGTTGTATCATCACGTACATATTTGTTCACAAGATTAGTAATAAGAGCTTCCATTTCCTTTTTGAGAGGGGGCGTTTCCAAAACTGGTCTACACCTTTAACCCAACGGTGGTTTTGTTTTACTTATTTTTTTAATAAAATCTAGCCATACTTATTATTATATTACCATTTTAGGGGCGAACATCCTTTCTTCAAGTAAATTACTAATGGTTATACTTCATTCAAACTTTACCAAATGCCTACACTATCGTACGCGTTTCAAATATTGTATAGCTACTTGATAACATCCAGTGGCGGATCCAGGGGGGGGGGGCCGGGGGGAACTGAATTCAGACGAGGATTGAGAGTCGAGAATGGTACAACGAATCGTCTTGTTTCTCTAATAATTAAATGAAATGTCAAAGCTTCCGCGCTTCGCGCGGGAGGAGAAAAACTGTATTCAGACGAGGATTATTTTCGAGAACGGTACAACGAATCGTCTTCTTTCTCTTATAATTTAATGAAACGTCAAAGCCTCTTTAAAACCCCATGGTTAAATCAACTGAGTACACAAGAATTGTCCCCTTTTCTGTTTTTCCTCGAAATTGTGCACACCACTTCTCCACTTCTGGGTCCATCCCTGCATACTTTTTATGAGCACATTGGTATAGAGATAAAAGAAACAGCAAAGCTTCAGATTTAATTTAAAAATTACTCCTAATTGTACGATCAATCATGGACGAGGGCACCTTTAAACATTTAACCCTAGCCCCCCCCCCCCTCTCGTCCCCTCCATGAATCCTAGATTCGGCTTTGGAAGATGATTGATTAAGAAGAAAATAAGACTAGATAGGAGGAGGATTCAAAGGTGAGGTAAAAACAAAACATTATTTAAAGAGGAATGCAATTCAAATGGAATTAGTAAATACAAAATGCAAATGAACGTCGTAATGCCCAATAAAGTACCTCTATTTATATTTAGTGTGTGTAATCTTAATACCTGACACGCTCCACAGCAGTAGCATGGGATTTAATACACCTGTGATTTAAGGCTTACGTAAGTGTGATGATACTGTTGATTATCTAGATATCATTGTTTTAATTAATATAATTATCACTGTGTCTCACGCCCCTCCCACTGTATTGTATAATTACCCCCTAATCTCCTCGCTCTCCGTCTCTCTCTATTTCTCTCTTTAGTCTTTCTTCCCCCTTTCTCTCTCTTTCCCGAGTCCGAGCTCCCCCTCTCCCTCTCTATTTTCCCACCAATTCTCTCTTTCTTCTTTTGTCTCTAATTACCCCCCTCCCCTCTTCCTCCTCTCTCTGCATCTCTTTTTTTTAGCATACAATAACCCCCCAACTCTCTCTCTCTCTCTCTCTCTCTCTCTCTCTCTTTCCCTCTCCCCCCCCCCCCCCCCTCCCCCTCTCTCTCTCTCTCTTTCCCTCCATCTCTGTTACATGCCTCGGCGAATAGGGCACAACGTACTATAAGGAAGTTAGCATGCCCCTGCTAACGCCTTTATCGCTACAAGAGGAATTGTTTGTTTGTACCTTTTCTGCATGGGGGGGGGGGGTCACTCTTTCTCTTTAACATCAATAATTCTACTTTTGTCTTGTTTTACCAAAAGATTCCTCCGTCTCTTTTCAAATATCTCTGTTTTACTATCATACACATACGTACAAAGAACACTGCAGACATTTTGTATCAAGTGCCAGTCTCTCGTAGTAATTTCTCTTTGCATGCTTCACAGTAAAATAATTAATTTTTGCTTTCAACTATTAACAATAAAACCAAGCAATGTAATACATTAAACACAAACTTAAAATCAAAATGTAAATATCGATATTTCAAAACCAAAGACTTAATATTCGCTTGCATTCTTACACAATTAGTGACACACAATTTAATAACTTTAAATCAAATAGTATATGTAATAAATACTGGTAATGTTACGTTAAAACGATAAGGCAAATTCACGATTTCAAAATACTTATATACCTGATACCAAAATTATGTGGAAAGAAGCAAAAGTGATTTCACAATTATCATGAAAAGCTTTCTGGGATGATTGCCTATTAAACATTTGTACCTATCTCTGAAAACACAGCATGAATGTGAATTTATCGACCGCGTTCCCCGTATTACGAGAGTAACATTTTTGATCCCTATTCACAGTATGCTTCCGACATCAACAACGCCCCCATCTCCCCCATTTTGCAGATGATTATAATAATAATAATAATAATATTTAATTTTTATATAGCGCTTAATACAAATGTCTCTAAGGGCTTTACAAATATATATTATTACCCCGGTCATTGGATTCAGTGCTTGCCCGCACACACTGTGTGCACAATCTCCACTCCCTGGGGAGCATTCCAGCCGGGCGTTACTTGACGCTCACAAGCTGTTTGACCAACAATAACGGTCGCATCCTACCGGGTACCCATTTAACACCTGGGTGGAGAGTAGCAAGTGCAGGTTAATATCTTGCCAAAGGATATTAGTGCCGTGTCGAGATTCAAACCCTCGACCTTCGCATCTCCAGTCAAGCGCCTTAAACCACTCGACCACGACACTCCCACGTAATAGATCTACGCTCCTGCATCACTATAGCGGCACATTTCATGGCATTGGTTTAATGTTGAAAATGAACACATAAAAAAAGGAAAATATTATGGTGTCTCGTACAATAGGCCACGTTATGGCAATGACTAAAATAACAATTGATGCAATTACAATAAAAGGCGAGTAAAATTTTGTATGAGATAGAACGGTCGTTTAATTTTGATGTTCATTGACCTGAATTGATAAACATTTCTTAAATTGGCAATCTTCCACAACCTGATATTCTGAAAGTCAGACGACGTAAAACCATGTGAGTGCCTAGATATATAGCAGAATAAACGGCGTATGGTGGGGGGGGGGGGGGTGGACCCGAGGCAGTTCCATGGATATTGAGAAATTCTGTTAGCTATTCAACTATACTTATAAGGCCATCGAAAATTAATTCCCAGTTTCTCGTTCGGGTTTATTTTTATCTCGACAATTTGGAGATGGGGGTTCGATGTTACTTTATATTTTTCTTGTACATGAAAAATACTTCTTGGGCAATTGTAAAACAAAATGGAAATAAATGTATTTTATTTATCCAGGAGCTCACAGAAGGGTGAGAATGCATTACATTACTGATTTCTGTCATCTGGCTGTCTAAATATATTCATATTCAATTCAATTTATCATTTAAGAACAAAAATTATAAAATGACAACAACTTTTGAGGTGGGCCAAACAAGGAAGGAGGAGGGGGACGAGAGATTAAGAATTCACTTTGTTTGGCCTAATGATTCTATCAACAAGAATCAGCATAGTCTGACGATATATATATATAGCCATAGGGGTTGAGTGGAGAAGTAGTGGTATGGGACAGTAACCTTCCTATAAAAACAAATTAAAAAAAGGAAGAAACGCCTTTTCTAATCCAGCAGCACAATAATTAATTGAAAAAATAGAGAGAAGTGTAGTTACAATTAAGATACCATCTTTAGTCAATATAGAGGTTGCCACGTGATAAAAACCACATCACTTTCATCTACCCATGATGTTACCCGTCATTAATGATTTACTGGTTGTCTATGTACATCGAGATTGTTCTATAGTATCAACATGAGAGAACTCCGAAATATTCACTTCTACGAACGAGCTTGTATAGCTATACAGCCAATAACAGAAACAAAAACCATGAAGAGTTTGGCCGACCCGATTCGAGTTGGGCAAAATCACAATATGGAGATTACTGCTATGTTGGACAAGCACGAAACTAAACGAATTGTGCCATGCTGTGACCAACTAAATCCAAGTTGGTCAAATACTGTGGAAAGATGGCTTCGTAGCCATAGACGATATAGCGCCGTCTATAGGAGTACTTATACAAAGTACTTTCTACGTCCTTAATCTGCTTTCAAACGCAACGTGAATATTAATTATTTTTTTATTTTGCAAGAATACCAAGAAAACAAAAGGCAAGTGGTATATAGGCCTACTACTTTTTTAATGAGCTTATAGTGCGTATGCGAAACAAGCGGAACATAAAAATATGCATTTCTGTTGCCACAAATAATGACATTCATTTTTCTTGAAGCTTTCCACTGTGTAAGCGTTTTAATTGCGAGAAGAAAATAATTGTTATTTTCAGTGGAGATGATGCGTGCTTAAAAACGTCAATTGCATGTCCAAAAGCCGTTGCTAGACTAACGCACGAAAAAACTGTGGAAAGAAATGGATCTGAAGCCGTAAACGCTATAGCGCCACCTAGGAGTACAATAAATTAGTTTCTACTTTCTTAATTAATCGCTTTTAAACGCAACATGAATACTAGGTGTTACTTGGCCAGAATACCAAGAAAACAAATTGCAAGTGGAACTATTTTTAAAGGTGCATTAGTGTTTGATTTTTTTTCTTCTCCAGCTGAGTGCGTATGCAAAATAATCGTAACTAAGAGGTATGCATTTCTGTAGCCACATTTATTTTTCTTGAAGCTTTCCACTATTTGTAAGCGTGTTAATTGAGAGAAGAAAAATAATTGTCATTTTCAGCGGAGATGTGGGTTGCTTAAAAACATCACATGCACGTCCAAAAGAAGTTGCTAATTTAACGCGCAATAAAACATACCAAGATGAATAAGACCAGATCATTTTTAGGGGGCAAAGAAAGGCCAACGTTTTTGAAAACTTCAGGAACCTTTTCGGACAAATGCAATCGAATACATAAAAGGAAGCAGAGCCCAACTCCATCAAATAGTTTTTGAGTCATCATGGACAAAATATTTTGATAAGTTTGGGAGACAAAACGTTTTCATTTTCATGTATCATAAATGTATAAACTATTTTCAGGTATTGTTCCCTGAAGATGAAAAAAATATTACACCTCCTAAACTTATTTCAAAATATAATTTTCCCCTCTCCCCCCCCCCCCCTCCCTCCCCACCAATGTCAAATCCCCCCATTAATATCTCAAACCAGATTAAATAGAGTTCCAAGGGCCCTTCCTCTGTCAATGTATTTAATTATATGAGAGATACTGAAACTGCTCAAAACTCTTTTAAAAGATTGTTAATTAAACTTTGTCGTTGTCTGCGAGTGTTATGTGGAATCCACAAATGTTTTTTATGAAGAGGGGCGGGTACATCATGCCTTTCCATTTGGAATAATCGTCGTCATGCAATACTCCGACGATCTCGTAGTATCTGACATCGTAATATCCGACATCGTTTTATCCGACATCGCATTATCCGACATCGTATTATCCGACATCGTCCCATTGATGCCGATGTCGACGTCACCACCAGTATCGACATGATGACGGGCAAGGTCCGGGCTAGGTTCCATCTCCACCATGTTCCTTTCATACGAGAACGCTATTCCCATTGCTCGCTCACCATCCACACGCTTCCTCTTTTGATTGCCTGATATAGCAGCGAAACTCGGTGGGTGACCGCCGTCCATGTCGGTAGAGGGCAACGACGCTCTCGGACTGTCTCTCGACGACGACGTCGACATGCAAACAATCTGCTTGGCGGCTTTCCAAAATGTATCGTTCGTGAAGGAGTAGATGACTGGATTGAAGCATGAGTTAACGTAAGGCAAGAGAAGGGAGAGGTTCTTGAGTTCGGGGTGCAGAGCTGTCGAGAAGTACTGCTGAACGATATGATAGGTGGCAAAGGGTGCGAAACAGATGATGAAACCTACGAAGACATAGAGAAGACTCTTGCATATCTTCCAGTGCGAGTTGCGGTACCGCTTCGGCACGGGGCCGCCGTTCAGGAGCTCACTTCGCAAGTACTGGTTACTTCGTTTGACGTGGACGACGATGCGGACGTAGATGATGGCGGTGATGATGACGGGTATGTAGAAGAGAAGGATGTTGAGATACACGGGTTTGAAGTCTTTCCACCACGGTCCGAAGGGGACGATGGCCTTGCAAGCCCAGGGCAACTTGCCCGGGTAAGAGATCGCCTGTCCTTCTCCGCTGTAAATACTCTGAAACATGAATAATGAGAACAACAAATTTATAACAAATAATCACTAAAAGACAGTCAAAGTATTGACAGAAAACGTTTGGCACTACTAATAGTAGTATTAGTAGTTTCACGCTTTTAAGAGACGCTTAAGAATACACCAAATGAACTGTACCAGAGATCAGTCATTTTTTTTTGTTTTAAATGATATTTTATTTCCTTCCTCATAATTTCACATAACAAGAAATTCACATAACAAGAAATTATCAAATTAAGCAATATAAAACAAGATCTTTGATACAAGACATTTCATGAGTTACATCAATCAATGAACATAGAAAAAAAAGGGGAAAAAATTCTTGCATGTAACAGTGTATAATCAAAATAACCGTAGAGGAAGGTTTAAAGTGTAGATTTTTTTGTTTTAAATGATATTTTATTTCCTTCCTCATAATTTCACATAGCAAGAAATTCACATAACAAGAAATTATCAAGATAAGCAATATAAAACAAGTTCTTTGATACAAGACATATCATAAGTTACATTAATCAATGAACATAAAGGGAAAAAAAAGGAAAAAAAAAAAGTCTTGCATGTATCAGTGTATAATCAAAATAACAGTAGAGGAAGGTTTAAAGTCAGTCATCGATGTGTAAGAGAAGGCCATAGCGCCATCTCCTGGTGGATCACGAAATGAATTCAGCAGAACTATTTAGTATATATTTCCCATGTTTTTTATATTTTGTTTTTATTGGATAGCCTCTAGCCGAATCTAAGATAGCCAGTTTATGAGATGATTCATAAGAATGTATCCTACTATGTTTTTAAATAGGCCTTTACTTCTTAATGTCGTTCATGGTTCGTCATCAACATTAATTTTCACAGATCTATTTGACGATTGTATAGTTCATTGAGAATTTCTTTGACTCTACTAGATTTGGAATCATTCACCATATGTATCCTACTATGTTTTTAAATAGGCCTTTACTTCTTAATGTCGTTCATGGTTCGTCATCAACATTAATTTTCACAGATCTATTTGACGATTGTATAGTTCATTGAGAATTTCTTTGACTCTACTAGATTTGGAATCATTCACCATAAGTATTCATGAGCTTCTTTCCAAGAAGCTCCATCTTGTACACAATATTGGAGACGGAGAGAGACAGTACGCACAACTCTATATCGCCGACGATGGTTTTAGATACAAAATTAAAATATTTTTCATTAATTTAATGAAAAATTCTTTAATTTTGTATCTTTATCGACAATATCTTAAGAACTTCGTCGAATACGTGACTGACCTCAAACATGAATGCGACAGGTAGAGCAGCGGTGAACGATGTCAACCAGACGAAGAGGAGAACGAACTTGGTTCGACTGACTGTAAACTTGCCCTTGTAGAGAACTGGGATACGAACTGCGAAAAACCTTAAAAGGAGAACAAGAAGCATAAACATTATACACAGTTATAATCGAGGAATGTAGGCTGCATTATTATAGTGCTGCAATATTATAATTGTCATTATATACCTCTCTTTAGAAATCTAGCCATCTGATTGGTCGAAATTGGAATCGTGATTTTAGCCATTCCCGTAAAGAAACGAACAATGCAAATGAGGTTCCCGCAAGATTCCAGGAACCGGGAAAATAGTAAAATTTTGCTGCGATCCCCATTGGTTTACGTGTTGAAAGTTAGTTTGTGCGAGCGCGGATACCATACGGTGCTTTTTGTCTGCGATTCCCAAATGATCAAAATTTCAGTCACTTTTCCAGCAAAGATAAACAGACAGTTTCTCAGACATCCGTGATGTTTTAACCAATCTTTACTCAAGAAAAGGATAATGTAAGAATTCTTGGTAGACGTTTTGTGTCAATTCCATATCGACTGTTTTCATATTCGAGGCCTGGCTGTCGGCTCTCGGGGACGTTGCATCCTCCCATGTCCCCTGGGCGCGCCGGCAACGTCTCCTTGAGCCTATACAACAGCCAGGCCTCTCATAGCAGTCGATATATCTATATTATCGTTCATCATTATAATGCAGTAGCTATCGGAAAAATCATTTCGAGGTGGGTGGGGAGTGGGGAGAGGTGATGTGGTTTTGTTTGTCTGTTTTTGTTGTTGACGTACCTGTCAATAGCTATAGCCATCATGGAAAAGACGGTGCTATTGAAGCTGACGAACCGTAGGTAGCGATGGATCTGGCACTGGATGTTGGTCCCCCACAGTATCGGCCATGTTGAATGGTAGAATTCGGTCACGTGGAAAATTACCACCAGAGAGGTTAAAATATCCGCTACAGTAATCAAGATAGAGAAAAACAAATGAAAACTGTGAAAATATGATTATTGTTAATTTGCACTTCTGACACAATCGCAAGGACTTGAGAAAAAAAAAATCAAGTTGAGGGCAGTTTCATATTACCTAAATCAGAGCCAACTATATATAGCTTGGCCAAATTGGTTTCACTGGGTCACAACATGGCGCATATTCAGTATAGTTGCCCATATTGTGTCCAACTCGAATCGAGTTGGCCAAACTCTGTGTATAGATGGCTTTGACCTAAATAGATTATGTTCGGATAACGTGCTATTACGTAGAGGCGTCGCAGTCGAGTGGTTTAATTCACTTGACTATGCAAATGCAAATGGTGTTGGTTCGAGCTCCTGCACGGCTCTTATGTCATTGAGCAAGGTATTTTATTTGCATTGCTTCTCTCCACCCAGGTGCTAAATTGGTACCCGTTTAGGATGCGAAGGAATTTGTGTTTGGATTGTGCATTTGCGTGCCCGTAAAACGGCGATTAGCTGGAGTGCTCCACATGAAGTGCAGAATGTGCACTGCAATGTGCAGAATAGTAATTGAGACCAAGGTTTCTTTTATTTTTCACATAATATAACATAATCAAACGAATATGTACAAATTCAAAAAACATAATATTAAACAAAAGATAAGACAAATAATTATACAATAATTCAAATAAATCATTTAAGATTGGCACAGTGGTGAAAAAATAGTGGAGGAGTTTATTGAAAAAACATGGCTTGTATTTTATAGACCCTTGAGAATAAAAAGAAAGTTACAAGTGCTCTGTAATATAATTAGAAAATACATGTATACAAATGCTAAGGTAATCATCCTACATCCACCCCCCCCCCCACGCTACAAAACAAAACAATTGTCTTTAACATTGGTGTATACACAGAATGTTTACAGATATCGAAAATAATAACAAATGATTACCTTTCTAGCTGAGAAGAGAGAGGGAGAAAGTACGAAATGGAAAGTGAAGCATAAAGGACGGGTACATTACCAGCTATGGTTACTTTTGCAATGTTTTGATCTTATATTACTAATAGGTTTATCTTTTAATTTCGTACTTGTTCAAAAAACTGTCCCTATAAATGTTGTCCTTTTAACAATTGTATCTTTCTAGAAGGAATTGTTTAAGTGTACGTTTAATGAAAAATTGGTAGAAGCTGATTTAATATTATCATTTACTGATTTCCGTAGCTGTGGTCCGGTATATAATATATAAGTCTTTTGAGCAGTGACGGTTCTGTTCTGTCGTAGATGAAACTGATCTGATTGTCTAGTTGGGTACTTGTGTACTTCCTTGTTTAAACAAATATATATTTGCTACAAGTTTTCTAATAACTGATTTTTGTCCAAATGGTATACAACCGAGATTATACAAATAGAATTCATCTATTTTTAAGACCTTATTATTTATAATTTATTGTTTATAAATGATTTTTAGATACTCTACTACGAACACAATACAACTTTATTTCTGAAAAGGATCAAGCGGATCCCATTTTTTTTCGCCATGTAGAGAGGGCCGAAAGTATGACCACCACCCCCCCCCCTCCCTCGGACTTTCTAAATCTCAATATTCGAGAGATCACAAGTTCTTATTCGAGAACCGAGCTATCGAGTAGATGGTTTATAAAGTTCACTAATGGATTTCCACTATCATGAACATAAATTACAATATAGGAACAATACTCCAGTAATTCATGTTGCATATTAATTTTGTCGTTTTATTTTGACAGGGTAGCCCTTTCAGTTATAAAAACTGTTCGACCAAGGGGCCCTGTATCAACATAATCAAAAACATATATACAAAACATATAAACATACATAAGTTATAATGAACACAAAAATTAAACAAGATAAAATAATGAAATAAATGGGGGGGGGAGGGTAAAATATTAACGTAAGTACTATTTTAAACTATGTGAGAGAATGGATTTGCGTAAGCGTTTCAACATCTTTTCTGCTTGACTGGAACACTTAAACTGGTCTATTGACATGATATTTTACTTATGAATTTCACCTAGAATTTAAAGGGATAGTTGAGTTCTGTTGCAGAGGGCGCTACACAAAATAATTTTTTTGTGAGATAATGAAAAACTGAGTGTCAAATTTGAAAGAACATAATATTTAAATGACAAAATCATCTTTATTTGATCAAAATCGGTTCAGAGACGGCTGAAATATAACGATTTCTAATACTTGTGTACCATCACAAATATTAGATATTTTGAAAAATTTGAAAAAAAACGTTAAAAAAAACGTAATTAACGCCTTTTACGTCGTATTTCAGCCAATGCCGATGTCGTTTTTTTTTGTTGTTGTTGCAATTTTCGTGTTGCTTATATTACGCACAACCAGCTGGCCCATGTATTGTTATTTTTAAGTAAATAATCAATTTACGGTCACCGTGATTTTTTTACAATGGAGCTGAATTGGTATGCTCGTATTGGCTAAATTTCACACATTTTGGGGTCTAAAATTACCTTCAAAGCAATTTTAGGTTCTAAAAGGGCACTAGAAATGTCATAGATAAGAATAAGAGCAATAACCATGCACTTTGAAGGCATTTGCGGTATGAAAACAGAACTCAACTATCCCTTTAATAGCCCCAAAGCCTGTTTTTTTATATTCAAGATCCGTTACATAAATGAAATCGCGCAAGGTGTCTCAATTTCCTTCATCAGGTAAATTGTTGCCCATAAAGTTGGAGTAATTTTTAACCTTTTTTTCATGGAATGATTGTGAAAATATGGTTTATTCTTGATAGATAACGTTAATATGAGAAAATATAAACTTAATCTAAGTATAAGGTTGTCACGATCATGAAAAGAGATAAAAAACATTATTTCAATTTAATGGGCAACTACTGTATAGACCGCTTTACGTCAACATGACTCAATATCCCAGGCTTCCATCTGTTTTTCGCGAATTCACTCTCATCACTATTATTGGGTGTGTTTTTGAAAAAGAAGTTGAACATAAATTAATCATTAAAAAGGGCGTTATTATGTATTCTACATCAATAATGAGGGATATAAAGGATAATGGCCCTCGACAGTTGCTAAGAGACGTTACGATTTTGTTGTGAATTACAACTATACAGTGCGTCCCAGAAAAAACGAAACCGAGAATTATCGACGTTTGATCATTACTTAATCACAATTATAATTGATAAATGACACATATTTGGAAAGCTGAGATCCTCCTCTTTCATCTGATGGAACTCATATAATGCATATTTCACGCATGAGTGATTAAGATGAATTTGAAGAGAGGAAACCAAAAAGTCATTTGGCGGACGGTATCTGAATTCCAAAGAGAAAATCACTTTTCCAGAAAGTTGAGTTTCTGCCCTTTCATATGACACCTCAAGCACGAAACATGAGCTAGGAATAACAAAGTTCTGTATGTTTAAAGTAGTGCTTGCATATCCATAAGTTTATCAAACGAATTCATTTTCACTGGCTGCCTGCCTAGCAACACACGGAATTAAGAAAAGACTTAACTCCGTTTCGTTGACAATCGGCCGTAGACGAAAGACTTCATGCATGGCTGATTGTCAACGAAACGGAGTTAAGTCTTTTGACAATTCTGTTTCTTGCTACGGCAAGCAGCCAGTGAAAACAAATTCGTTTGATAAAATTATGGAAATGCAAGCACTAATTTAAACATACAGAACTTTGTTATTCCTGGCTCATTTTTCGTGATTGAGGTGTCATATGAAAGGGCAGAAACTCAACTGTCTAGAAATGTGATTTTCCCTTTGAAAATCAGATATCGTCCGTAAAATGACTTTTTGGTTACCTCTCTTCAAATTCATTTAAATCAATCATGCGTGAAATATGCATCAAGTGAGTTGCATCAAATCAAAGAGGAGGATCTAGGCTTTCCAAATATGTGTCATTTACTAATTATAAATGTGACTAAGTTATGATAAAACATCGATAATTCTCGGTTTCGTTTTTTCTGGGACGCACTATATGTAATATAGGGAAGGCCATTTGATATGCATGGGAGCAACACAATATTCTGAATAGGGGGGGGGGGGGGGTTGTATATTGTACAACGTGGAATGGAGGGAGGGAGTGAAAGGGGAGATTACGACAGAAAGCGTGCGTGTGTCTGCGTGTGTGTGTGTGTGTGTGTGTGTGTGTGTGTGTGTGTGAGTGGGAAAGAAAGATAGAGAGTGTATGTGAGTGAGTGAGAGAGATAATGCTTGCACGATCGCTAGACTTTGGCCAGTCGTGATGAACGCAAAACTTGATTGGGATAAGAAGAGATAAAGGACCTGGTTAGATGTGGATAGGGATCGATTCCGTTGTAATGGAAACCGTTCGAATTTATAGTAGAATCTATACTAAAAAAAAACGATGGCAGAACTCTTCTGAGAGTCTATTCAACTGTTTTGAGCTAGATCCCGGTTGTAAGAAACATGCTCCCACAAGAGGGAGGGGCGGAAGGAGGGAGAGAGGGAGATTAAGAGGGAGAGTGTGTGTGTGTGTGTGTGTGTGTGTGTATGTGTGTTTGTGTGGGAGAGAGAAAGTATCTGTGTGAGAAAGGGAGAGAGAGTGTATCTGAGTGAGTGAGAGGAAGAAAGAGAGAGTGTGGGTGTGTGTGTTTACGTTTCAGTGAGTGTGTGTAAGAGAGAGAGAGAGTGATGAAAGAGAGAGAGAAAGAAAAAGAGGGAGAGGATGTGTGTATGTGTGTGTTTGACTGAGTAAGAGAGAAAGAGAGAGAGAGGGGGGACTATAAAAAAAAACAAGAGTGGTGCTTTACTGAGCAGACGGCCGTTTCTTTGTGGAAGAAAAAGCGGGTCATTAAAAAAGAATATTCCCTTTTTTCCGTTGAAGGTATCATTTCTACGTATACAACAAATGGTTAGTAAACAAAAAAGTATACGATGGCCATGAACCAAAGAAGCAGTAATTGAATAACAAATTCAGTGCTCGCCTGCTTGTTGATTTAAGTGATATTTGAGCGGTGATTTTCAATTACTATGGCCATTAGA